AGTCCGGCCAGTGTGGCTCAGTGGTTGAGCGTCGACCCATGCACCAAGAGGTCACTGGTTCAATTCCCGGTCAGGAAATCTCATGCCCAGGTTGTGGGCCAGGTCCCCAGTGGGGGACATGCAGGAGGCGGCCAGTCAATGTTCTCTGTCATCGATGTTTCTATCTCTTTCTCCCTCTCACTTCCTCTCTTTCTAAAATATCAATAAAGGAAAATAAATAAATAAATAAAGAAGGTATAGAAAATAAAGCCCCATGTACCAGTCATCCAGCTTCAACAATCATTAACTTTCTGCTGTTCTTTCTTTCTTTTCTTTTTTTTTTTTATTGATTTTTTTTAAAGAGAGAAGAAGAGAGAGAGATAAAAACATAGATGTTAGAGAGAAACACCTATTGGCTGGCTCCTGCATGCCCCCTAATGGGGATCAAGCCCACAACCCGGGCATGTACCCTGACTGGGAATTGAGTAGGTTCATTTCAGTTCATGGGACAACACTCAATCCACTGAGCCACACCAGTTGGGCTCTGGTGTTGTTTCTTATCTTTCTCCCTATATACTTATCCCCCATCCTCCACCTCATGGTATATTAAAGGAAATGCCAGGCATTATGTGGTTTCACCCTTAAATACTTAAGTGCATGTCATGTTTGGTTAAATGACCACAGTGTAGATGAGAAAGGAAATGGGGTAAAATGTTATCAATAAGTAAATCTGAATAGAAGGGATAGGTACAAGTGTTGTTTGTACTACTGATTTTTGCAAATTTTCTGTAAGTTTAAAATGATTCTAAATTAAAAGTAAAAACAAACAAACACACAAACAAAAATAACCATAATGTCACACCCGATAATCCAGGAACAGATTGTTCTTGTTTTACTCTAAGTCATACTCATGGAAAGAAATAAAAGGAAGAATCCAAAATATATTTTAAAAGAAAAAAAAATTATTCATATTTCTAACACCCAGACTTAATCACTATTAAACAATTATGTATTTTTCTACAGGCTATTAAACAGACACAGATACAGACACACACACACATGCATATTATTTAAAAAGTCAAATAGTACTGATGCACTTATAATCAAATGTACTAATTGCCATCCTCCACTCCCTGCAGACCCACCCCCTGCAGTGCTTGCCCTTGCTTGCTCTCTTTTGTCTGACAACAGGTTCTCTCTCATGGAAAAATGCCAGCTGCAGCTCTGTTTTAAGCACAAAATTTTTCTGATTTACCACAGCTGTTCAGATGAAAGGGCATTACATTTTGCTTTTTTTTTTTTTTCCCTTCTCAGGAGTGTTTTTCATTTTGTGTTTGATCTTAAAAATACTTTGTGGGCAGTGGATATTCCAGATTGCCTCATTAATTACCCACTTTGACTTCCTTCTAGTATGTCTTTCTATACTATAGAGGCTGGACAGCAAAAGCTACATTTCCAGACTCCCTTGCAGCTAAGGTTTTGCACATGGTCAATGGAAGGCTTGGAAAGTTGATGGCAGAGAAGTTTGGTTCATTTGGCTGCAATTAGGTTCTGGTGTCTGGTTCCCTGTATCATGGGTGCTAAGTGGAAGGCAGGTGAGGTAGTGAGGTTTCTGTCAGAACAAACCTATGGAAGGATTAGGTATTTCTCCTGGCTTCATTGCTCCTGATTGTATAGCATAACAAGCTTTGTCATCAGAAGTTTAAAAGCATCTTAATATCCAATAATAAATCCTTTTTTGCTTAAAATAGCTAGAATTGATTCTATTGTTTCCAACTAAGAAACTCGGTAGAATAAATCATTGAACTCTGCTACTTCTTGAGTATCTATAAAAAATAAAATAAAAAAAAAACCTTTAAACTTCAGTTGTCTGTGGTTGTAATGATTTTCTGTATTTTCCCTATGCTTCTGAAGGTGACAGACATTTTTACATCAATTATTTTATTTGGCAAATAACAACAGTTGGTAATTATGGCTGGTAATATTAAATCTTCTTTATATAAGAAACTAAGACAAAGAAAGATTAAGTACCTTATCCAAAGATGCATAGCTTATGTATATGGCTTAGAATCCCACTTCAGGTTTTCCACTATTTCATATGCCCAGCCTGTTCATGAGTAAATAAAACAAATTTTAAAAATTTCCATAAAAGTCCTGGCATATAATTCTAGCAAAACTTTTTAGGAGTGGCAACTGACCTAACAGGGGATTCTTTCTAAGTTGGTATGCTTCTCATTAAAACTTCATTACATTGTTATTATTTTAAATTCTTTATTTTTGATTTAATTTAGTGCTTAACGTAAAAAATTCTGGAAGTATAGACAATTCTAAAGAAGCAGAAATCTCTGTTTATAATTTGAATGTTTTCAGAGGTCAGATAGAAACAAAACATTAGAAGAAAATTGGGAGATTTGGGGCAATAACCACATCTTTGGGTTGATGTCAAGGAGAACAACCACATTCCTCCAAAATTATTTCCTGATGCTTTGGTCAGGGATCCAGTCCTGTGCTGACCCTGAAGGTTATTCTTGGGCTTTGATCTCTTACCTATTTTCACTATACTCACAAGCACTAGCCCATAATGTGCTTGGAACTCAGTCCTAGAGTTCTTTGCTTTCATTGGTTCTAGCCTCCTACTCTAGCTAGTTATCCTGGGAGCTAGTGTCTAAATTTCAGAGGGAGGCAGCTGGTGACATATTCCATAGCTCCCTGCTTCCTCCAATCTAGCTTTTGATAAAAACAGGCACCTCTATCTCCACTCCAAACTCCCTCCATTTTTGTGCAAGATTCAGGGGAAGGCAAGGCTGTGCTGGTCATACCAGCAGAGGAGATGGTCTCTCTTACCCCATCTGATGCCTTGATTGTTCCTCTAGACCCCAGATACACCTTCATGCTGGTTCTGCCCAGTTTCCTGCCCCCATCTGGCCTTCTTCTAGTAGTTCTCCACTTCTCATACCACTGGCTGAGCAGTTCCCCTCAAGGCTAAAACTCTTCTCCCTATCCTTAAAATGCAACTTGTTTCCCATGACTGGTCCTTCCCTGGAGCTATAGTATCCCTGACCCCTACCTCACAATAGCATAGTTCTCATTCAACCCCTAGTATTCTTTCATGACCCGGGAGAGGAAATCCTGGAGACCATAGAGCTTACTACAATAATTTCTTTCCACCTACCCAAATTCCACCCACCTTTGGGAGATGCCTTGTTTTCCAACAGACTCCTAAAATGACCAGCTAGGCTCAGACCAATGCAGGCCACCTCCTCCAGTGATTAATTAGCACCCCTTATTGATGTCCTGTTATTCTTCTATCACGGATAAGTTGAACTGCAGTTGAGCAGAGGGAAACTGGTTCTGTGCAGAGCTAGCCCACAGCTTATAGTACTTTAGCCAGGATAAAAAGGAGAAGTAACATTGCCTTAAACACAACTGTTGTGGACAGAGGTAGGGCAGCCCTAATCTCCCCCAAATTGAAACTAATGCAATTAGACAACTTAATGATCACAGAGACTTTCAGGGTGACAGTATTGTAATGCTAAGCATTACCTCTAAACTGCCAACATAAATTTTTCAAGTCCTCTAGGAAACTTTTTCATCTGAGTGAAAATCCTTGTAAATGTGTAATTCATTTTTATTTGCAAAAGATAAACAGTTTCCTATTGCCAGAGGACTCTAAAGTATCTTGCCAGAGAATCTAAAGAAAAAGCTTCAGACCTATTATGTACAAGAGAAAAACAAGCCCTGGATTGTTGAAGTCACTCTTTCTCGGGTTTCTTCTACTAACAGATAATAGATTGAGAGAAAATGGCTGTTATTTAAAACCAAAACCCAGAAAGACTCAGAAAACAAGGTTTATATTTCCCCAAACAGATTTGGAGAAGTAGAATATGATCAGAACTTTCTCCTGGGAGGAGAGAGAGGGAGATAATTGGTGGGGAGAACACTAAAGAGAGGGCAGGTGTGGATCTCTGAGAAAGGCCCTGGTCTGTTCCCGGACCTGGCAATGCTCAGGGAAGGAGATGACAAAAAAAAAAAAAAAAAAAAAATGTTGTGCTAGTTTCCTGTCATTGCTGTGACAGGTTACCACAAACTTAGTGGCTGAAGACAACATAAAAGTATTGTCTTATAGTTCTGGAGGTCAGAAGTCCAAAAAGGGGTCTTAGGGAGCTAAAGTCAAGGTGTTGACAGGGCTGGTTCCTTCTGGAGACTCCTGGGAGAATTGGCCTTCTCGCCTTTTCCAGCTTCTAGAAGCTGCCTTGTATTCCTTGGCTCTGGCCCCTTGCGTGTTCAATGGCAGCAATGGCCAGAGGAGTCGTTCTCACATTGCATCCCTCTGACACTGATTCTTCTGCTTCCCTCTTCCACGTTCAAGGAGGCTTGTGATTCGTTGGGCCCACCTTGATAATTGAGAATAATTTTCCTATCTCGTGGGCTGCTGATTAGCATCTTTAATTCCATCTGCAGCCTTACTTTGCCCTTGCCAAGTAACATATCATCAGAGGTTGTGGAAATTAGGACATGGGCATCTTTGGGGGCCTTTATTCGGTCTTCCACAAATGCCTACACAGGTTTAGAGATGTACCCTGTTTTTCTTCTGGTGCCTTGGAATCTTTTTAGCCTCCATAGCATGGGAGGCAGCAGTGAAGCAGACATGGCAGTGTGGGGTGCCAGGAGGGAGAGGCCTTAGCGCTGCCCGGTAGTTCTCAGGCCCGTGTCCTCTCTCACGGAGAGCTGGCAGCCTGGGAGGAGGGGCAGTGAGCAGTTGGGACAAAGTGATGAAGCTGAGGGAATCACTGTGGACCCCATGACTGGGGACCATATGGGGATGTGGTAGCTCAGAGGATGCTAGCGTGGAGGCAAATCAATTACTGGAGGACCAGATAAGAATGAGCTCAGAGATTTCAACAGCAGCTATCCATGTTTGAGGAACCCCACCCCCTTTACACTACAAAAAACCCTCCTGGAAGGGGGAAGAAAGAAACCTCTGAAGTTGGACCCCCCCAGAAATTTAAATTGATTCAGAAAACTATACACTCCCCTTCAGTGCTCAGTCCCCAGGTAAGGAGGCTGGGCAATGGTTCGAGGCTGCTGTTTACTCTGGCATGGGCACACCAAGAGGGCCCACAGAGAAGGGCCCACGGAAACCCATTACCAGGCTCTGATTCAGAAAACTTGGAAGTTGCTGAGAAAAATCCCAATTTGACTAAGATGAAGTCTCTGTCACTAGAAACTGAATTGGAATTTGAGAGAGAAACTAGGTTGTTACAGAAGAATAATGCAAGTTCATATTTCACACCCCAGATTTTGTGCTTAGAGTTATCCAGCCACATATAAATGAGGACAATGTTGAGTCTCCTTTTCCGGCAGGAATAGTGGGAGAGACTGCTTCATCTGCGAGCACTTGGTGAAGTGAGGCTCAGCGTAAACAGTGCGTGTTTTCTGTGCTGTGTCCCCTTCCGCAGATCAGCTGTGGGTAAGCTGCACGGAGAAGTCAGTCTCGGGAAGGATGAGTGTGTGGTATCTTGCATAGCTAATAGCTATTTCCACATAACTACTCTGACATAAAAACCAAGCCATGAAACTTTCAGCTTTTTTTTTTTTTTAAAAGACGGAGTAAAATGTTAAATGTGAACCTCCACTCAGCTCTGTGCCTTGCTCAGAGGTGTGACCAGGCGGGAGCAGCGGGCTGGCTCTGGGATCTGTGTGAAGCCTTCTCAGAGCCTCAGTCATGCTCGCACATGACACCCTCTTTTCATCCCAATTAACAACAGTCATATCAATAGGTTGCTTTAAAAATCATGGAAAGGCAGCCGTTTGGAGGAAAGTGGTCGAGGAAGAAGCTATCAGGAGCTATAAGTTTGAGGCTTCACACAGATGTAATAGCTATATTTGGCCTTGGTTTAAGAGCAGCATTTAGAGTGATCTGAGAAACGACTGGCAGACTGGGACAGTCTTCCCTTGGTGCTGAGATCTGGGTGCTGGCACCATAGGGAAAGAGCGTGGAGCTCTCTGGGCAAGTGTCTGGCCTGCCTTTTTCAGCAGGAGCAGTGTAACTAGGGCTGACACCTTGACCATGGCTCCGACTTCTTGGCTTATTATGGAGAAAGTTATTGTCATCAGTGGGCTTGTCATTAAAATCTGAATGATAAATAAATTAGCTTTGTTTTGTATTTTAAACAAGTGAAGAAATGATTACAATATCAGTAATAATATTAACTAATATTTATTGTGTGCTTACTATGTGCTAGGCACCATGCTAAAGTACTTTACATACATTATCTCATTTTTTTTTTTTTTAATAAGAGAAAGTTTATTTAGAAAGTCACAGAGGTAGAAGAAGTGAACCGTAGAAGAAATGGGCTCAGGAAACAAATTACACAGACACAAGAAGGCCCTTGGATCTTAGGAAAAAAGAGAGGCAAGGAAAACTCGCCTGGGGGAAGAAGATGGGGAAAGGTGCAGGTGTGCGAGAGAGAGAGAGAGAGAGAGAGAGAGAGAGAGAGAGAGAGACCCATACATTATCTCATTTAACCCATATAAGAGCTCAGAGGGAAAAGAATGATTATTACCCCCATTTTAGAGGCAAAGAAGCTGGGGCTTAGCAAGGTCAGGGTTCCCTGTCTGTGGTCACTCAACTTATAAGTGACCAACCCAGGGCTTAAACGCAGGTCTCTGTGGCTCTAGAGCCTGAACGCTCAGCAGCATGCCATTCAACCTCTGTAACTACCCATGGGCAGGCTTCCACTGCTGGAGGAAACATGACATGGCATTTGGGGGGTGGAGTGTGCCAGGCTAATGCCCTGTGAGAGCTCTCTCAGAACCACACTTTCTCACTCCAGCAACTGGTAGGGGACTAATGACAGAGTTATTCTCCACCAGGGCAAGGATACATCTGGCTTCAGGAAGCCTTGGGGCCCTGAAAGGGCACACTCAGGGCTTAGCTCATGCAGTGGGGATAGTGGGTTGGGCAAGGAAAATGGAGCTCAGTAATACTGCCTTATATAAACCGAACTGTGACTTTTTTCAGTTTCTATTGTCCATGGACTATTAACAACAAAAGCATTTTCCCAAGGACAAAGGTACATATAGCAATAGTAATTACAGATACAGCTCATTGGAATTATGCGGTCCCTTCCCGACAATTTGAGGTGATTCTTTCTCATCCTGGAATCGAAACATGGCATCACTATCACATTCTTTGCAAAACCAGATGCAGTGGTGCAGGAGAAACGCTAACCTAGATGTCACATGAAGCAGCAGCAAGTCGAAGACCAACTAGCTTACAAGTTTCCTAAACAGGAGCGGACACATTCACCTCTGGTTCTGAACATGTAAAGTTCTTCCCGTCAAGGTGTCGGGCAGCACTGGTGACAGTCCGTCTTTCAGACTCTTAACTCTAGTGGTGGCCAAGCTGATGTCCTGTCACTCTGTACACTGTCCCTGGGCCAGGATGTCAGAATGTTCAGGGCTGCCATTTCAATATGAAAAAAAGAAAAAAGGGAGGGGTAGGTGAGTAGCTTAAAGCCTGGTTCCATCTCTGGGCTACTGAGTGGGAGAGAACAGAAGAAAAGACAGGAACAGCAAATCCGGCCATGGCGATCCCAGCGCTCTGACGAATTCAACCATAGAAGCACGTGGCTCTTCTTCTTCTTCTTCTTTTTTTTAATTTTAAAGGGAACATTAGTCAATTCACTGTCGTATAAAACAGTGCAACTAAGTTCGAGGCATTTGGCATGTCTTTTATTCCTCCTGCCTCAGAGGAAAGGAGTTGGGAGCGGTCCCTCATCCCTGTCGGAGAATGTACCGATCCCAGGAGATCCCTCTGGATCCTTCCTTGACAGGCCTTCTCCTTCCATTTTAGGAATGCAGCATATTCTCTGTGACAGTGCTGCCTCCACCGCTGATGACAAAGCTCCGTGAATTGGACACTACAAGTGCTGGGGACATCTCTTCAGGGTCCTCCATCTCTGGCTGCCGGTCCCCACCCATAGGCCCTTGCAGGCCTGTCTCCTGGGCGGTCAGTTCCGAGTCTGTCTCCCCGCACTGCAGCGGGAGTAATGCCTGGTGTCTGGTCGCCGTGTCGTTGCTTTTTTGGGACTCCAGGGAGTTCTGGTGGGTGGAATTCCTGTGAGCCATGGCACTCTTCTGAGGCTCGTCAAAGCTCAGCGAGAAGGTGACTGTGCCACTGCCAAAGATGACCTGCTTGCATCTGGGCTGCTGCTGAGACTGCTGCTGCTGCTGCTGCTGCAGGGTCAAGGGCGGCTGCGGCTGCGGCTGCTGCTCTTGCAGGGTCAGGGCCAGTGGCTGCTGCTGCTTCTGCCTCTCGGGCTGTGGGAAGGGGTCTTCGCTGTTGCTCTTGCTGCTGATGGAGGAGGACGGGGTGGATCCCGTGGAGCCCCCGAGGCTGTTGGACCGCTTGCGGGAGACGTTGCTGCGGCGCAGCGTGGCCCGGGCTGCCACCTTGAAAGCGTGAGCGGCGGTGCTGCAGCGCACCTCCTCGATGGTGTTCCGGGATGGCTTGAAGAGGATGATGTAGACCTTGTTGAAGAAGATGCAGGCCAGCAAGCCAAAGCTGGCGGCCAGAATGGCGATCACCTCCACGGCGGAGACGAACTTGCCGTAGGTGCTGGCGTAGGCTGGAATGAAGGAGATCCAGACGATGAAGAAGATGAGCATGCTGAAGGTGATGAACTTGGCTTCGTTAAAGTTCTCCGGCAGCTTCCGGGACTTGAAGGCAAAGAAGAAGCAGATGGCAGCCAGCAGGCAGGTGTAGCCGATCAGGAAGCCCAGAGCCATGAGCGAGCCCTCGTGGCATGTGATGAAGATAATCTCATCCTCCAGTTCGTGGTTGCGGTAGCTCGAGGGGGGCGCGGTGTAGAGCCAGATCACACAGATGACGATCTGCATGAAGGTGCAGAGGAAGACCAGCAGGAACTGCAGGTTGAGCCCCCACCACTTGCGGTGGAAGCTGGTGGGGATCTTGGCCTCGAACACCAGGAGGACGCGGTTGGTTTTCACCAGGATGCAGGAGATGCAGAGCACGAAACTGATGCCAAAGGCCGGCTGGCGCAGGCGGCAGGTCCAGTCCTGGGGCTCACCGATGAAGAACAAGGAGCTGGAGAAACAGCAGAGCAGGGAGAAGAGGAGGAGGTAGGAGAGCTCTCGGTTGGTGGCCTTGACGATGGGTGTGTTGCGGAACTTGATGAAGACACCCAGCACAAAGGCCGTCAGGAAAATGCCCAGCACAGCAAAAAGGGTGAGTGCGATCCCAAAGGGCTCGGTCCACGACAGAAACTCGATCTCCTTAGCAATGCAGGACGTGTGGTTCTCATTGGACCAGAAGTCATCGGGGCACTTGTCACAGGCACTTGCATCTGTAAAATGTCCCAGTGAAAAGGTAGTGAATAAATGGCATAGCCTAAAACTTGTGAGTGTGAATGTGGTGGTGAGGGTACACAGGTTATTGTGTGTGGTCACTTTCCATTGTGCTTATTGATGAAAAATTGTGATTTTTACATTATCAAATAATATATTGAACCCTGACATGCTTAATTATATACTTAGTTAATTTCATGTACTTTTGATGATTCTATGATTTTTCCCCCCTTTTGCACATGGTCAGGGGTGTACATATTTCCTTTAAGACTATCTGCTGATGATTTGTAACAGAGAATAATCAATCTTGTTGGACAGGTGGCTGCCCAGAGGTATGACATAATCCAACTTTTCATGGAGTGATTCAAGCTCAGCCTGACTCATGTTAGATGTGTGGATGGGCTTTGTAGACACGCCAGAGAAGATATCCTCTTAGATCAAAGTAGAATATCTCACACATGTGACCTGTGCCTTCCCCCACGGCTTTCCAGTGAAGGAGGCTACAGACTCATTCAGTCAAGGAGCATTTATCAAGTCTCTGCTGTGTCCTGGCAACATGCAGTTTGGGGAAGTGAAAGGAACATGGGCTTTGCTGTCAGAGGTCCAGATGGGAATCCTGGCCCTGCCCTTTACTAGCTGTATGATTTTGTCAGTCTCCTTAACTTCTCTGAGGCTCAGTTTTCTCATTTATGAACTGGAAGCGATAATAACCCCATTACTGAGGGGTGGATACAATGAGATAATAACAATTATAGTTAATATTAATAGAGTGCTTCCAATAT